TAATTCTCGAGTTTAACCGTGGAATAACTCGACGGGGGGAGAGTTGCCGAGTTTCCGTCTCGATACGATTAAGTCATTAGCCCCAACGCGTTAACAACGTAACGTCTGGGTTGCCGGGAGGTTGCTTACGATCTTATCGCTTATTACTCGCCAGTTATTATTACGTTGCTGCGACGAATATTACCTGCCTGTTAAAAGTTGAAACATCTCGATCTCGATCTCGATCCTACAATCTCAGTTGCAAAAGATGGACTCTGTACCACTTCCATTTTCATCACATATCGGTCGGTCGGCGATTCTGGCGTGAAAAGACCGAATAAATCGACACCTATTTACCTACATCCACATCTACATCTACATCTATCACCCGTTGATTTCTCACATTGATCTTCACTCTCGTCGTCGTCGATTGTGTGTACATTGAGACGGAGAGAGTGCGCAAAATATCGTGTGCTACCGATACTGGCCGGAATCAAACGCGCCGGCTATAATAACAAGCCATCGACGTAACGGACGAACGATTAATAATAAACGGAGGTACGACTGTATGTACGATCGACACACCCATACCCAACCCAAGCTACTGTACTCGCGAAGAACCGCACATCCATCGCGCATCCTTTTAATCGATCGACGTGGCGATTTAGGTCGATGAACCCGGTGCGCGCTATTGTTCTACTCTATTAGTTTTGCATCGAGTGGATTAAACTCTCGCGTCGGTGGTGAGGCGATAAAAAGAAAAAAAAACTAACTCTCTCTCTCTCTCTCTCTCTCTCCCAAGTGCATCGAGCATTCATTCACTTGCTCGACAAATTTTTTGGCAATTTTTTTTTTTTTTTTTTTGTTTCTGACCTTCACAGGCACGTTCGTCGGTGTTTGAGAAATCATTGGTCCATTTGTTTATGTCGCAACGCATCGTTTATGATTCCTAAGAGCTGCAAAGAAATGTAAAGCTATACTCGCGAGTGTATTAGTAGCATACGCGTGCTTGCGATACACGGATGATTACACGGTAATCTCGTATCTTGTTACCTAACCGTCTCAACAATACGCAGATACACGCAACAATACAACGCGTGACGATGCAAAACGATATACGCGTGATTGGCAATAAACACGTTGGAATCAGCCCGACGCGTGTCATCATCCTCTTATTTCTCTACGAAAGTATATTCTACTCCCCGTATCAGTATCGCGTGTCATTTCTTTCAATCTTTCTCGTGTCCGTTGTTAATGTTCATGATGCTGCAAACGCTACTGTTGTCAAGCTATTGTCTATATATATATATAT